AGCTAATAAAAATAGTCATAACATGGCAGAGAAATCAGAGAAAATTGAGGATGGTGCTGATTAATAGTGATGATGTCAAGTTTAAATAGACTTCCAAATAAGAAATATTGCTCATTGATGGTGATGATACTGAGGTACTCTGCTTGAAGCCCAGAGTGACACTCAAATAGAAAGATATACTAGTTTGTAAAAAATATAGCTACAAATCCAGAAAAAAAGCGAAAAGAAAGCAGAAATGGGTCACTACCACTCTTGCAAAATAGGACTTGTTCCTGCCATGCTTGCAATGGCCTCTTACACAAGTCATAGTATTGTACATATACATAACTATTACTGTTCCATAATCTTATTTGACCACATTCACAGGAATAAAGCATGCAATAGCTAATAAAACTTTAGAAAACTATGAAAATTAAGAGACATATAGTCAATATGGTTCCCAGAAATCCTGCTTCCAAGGGGTTACAGTTAATATAGATGTTTTGGAATGTCAATGTTAAGTGCTTCTACCTATCTCCTGAGTTTTGGGCACAGATGCTTCTCAAATGGCCCACAAAGCTCACTGAAGCATGACAGAGAGATTTCCAAATCAGGCCTAGAAAGGTCTGGGGGTCTCAGATCCTTGTATAAATAGGATCTCTGTTTATTTCTTTGGGATAGTGTTACTAGATATGAAAAGTGTCTTGTGAAATATTTTCAGCCCCAATTCACCAAGAAAAATGTCAAGGATTGGTCCAGGATGATTGCTCTACGCAAAATGTACTTTTATTGGGGACTTTTCAAGTTATACCCAGTGTAAATTTATTTGCTATCATATTATATTGCAGGTGTTGTTTAAAGGACATCCTGAGTCTCCATGGATCAACTCAAAAGGATGGTAGCATTTTTTCTTCTTGCAGAAAAGAAGGACCAATGTTGTAGATACTTGTTTACTTTCAGAAAAACTCTGGAAATTAACTTCTACAGACATCATGCAATGTTCATTTTAACATTTCTACCTACCTTTTGTATTATATGCACCACAAACATTAATAGGGAGTTATTTTGCCTCACTCCAACAAATATATTGAGTGAAAAATACATAAAGGGGAGAATAAGTTCAAATTTACCTTTTAGGGGAGGATATAAAAATTTCTAGCCCAGAGACTTTATGAAGCTCATAACAATAGCAGGGAGATCCAGTGTTCAAAATATCTCTTCCTCAAGTTGTGAATTGCTTTCAGTAGGTTGCAGTCATTCAGAATTTCCCATTTTGTTACATCCCATTTTTGGAAGTTGTCACACTCAATGCCCTGCCTTATCCTCAGTTTTCATTCGTTCACCCCCAAACTTGGTATGTACAATCTACACCTCCTTAGCTATGTTCCATACACCAGACCTTAGTTCTTAAAATGTTTGGTTCTTGTGTTATAGCACCAACTTTGTCCAAAAAATCATGTGACATTACTTTTGATCAGGGAGTGTAGCAACTGCCAGACTAGGCAGCTTTGGCCTACAGTATCTAGAGGGGCTGTAAGGAGCTTGCTGCTTCCAATGATGAGCTTGGAGATTGAGAAAATGCTAGGAACTGCTTTCAGAGTACACTTCACAAAAGGAAATCTCAGCTAGTTTGATGAAAATGGAAGAAAAACAAGATAAAGATGTCTCTACCCATCAGGGTCGATCCAATGGAATGTTGGTCACATGACCAATTAAAAGTTGTAGCCCTACACTGTAGCTTACTGAATCTGGTCAAATTATATTCTAAAGTACTCCTGTTGTGGAGATATTATGTAAAAGATTGTTCTGAGTGCTGTGTTTTTTTGCATTTTTCTCTATGAATACAAAACCAAAGAAGATAATTTCAAAACATTTAGAGAGCTAAAAGAAAGGGCTACAATTATTGTACCATAGGGAAAATGACCAAAAAAGGAAGGTGTATGCCCTAAAAGGGAAACTGACACTGACAGACTACAAAGGTCAGTATGGACTACAAAGTTATTGAGTACAAGCTAGGGTTAGGGTTGAATACAAGCTAGGGTTAGCTAAGGTTGAATACAAAGTCTACTGATAGAGTAGAAAAGACTACAACAATTAGATTAGACTACCAAGTTAGGGTTAAGGTTCACTAGATTAGTGTTCACTACAAGCTAGGGTTAAGGTTGACTACAAAGTTTACCAAAGTTAGACTTATACCATCAAGTTAGGGTTAGGGTTGACAAGTGAGGGTTAGGGTTGACTCTACAAAGTTAGGGTTAGGGCTGACCACAAGCTAGGGTTAGGGTTGACCACAAGCTAGGGTTAAGACTTACACCACCAAGTTAGGGTTAGGGTTGACTATAGACTACAAAGTTAGGGTTAGAGTTGACTACAAGCTGGTGTTAAGGTTGACTACAAAGTTTACTGATCGACTACATAAGACTACAAAGGTGGGATATAGACTAGACCACAAAGGACTACAAAAGTCAAACTTCAACTACAAAGTCTACTGATAGTCTACAAGAACTACAAAGGTTGAACTTTTACTACAAAGTCAGAGTAGTTAGTAGTCACTGCTTTTTGAGACTACAAACGTCTGTAGTGTCTGCTTTTTCCATTACAAGAGTTTGCACTAGGCATATTTCATTGTGTTGTCTGCTTCTGTAGACTACAAATGTTTGTATTGTTCACTTTTCTGACATGTAATTGACTATATATAGGTTCATAGGAATATGGTTGAAGGATTGACCATCAGAAAAGGCTATTCTATACTTTCATTTCATATTGATTGCTACTGTCTTATCTCAAAACATAGTCATAGGTTCATGGAGATATAATTGAAGAGTTGAAGTGACTTTATATGTTGCCATTCCTGCATCATAAGTTGTTGAGATCATGCACAAGTTGGCTTTCATATCAGAAGAGGCTATTCTATGCTTTCATATTGGCAACTAGTGTTCTATCTCAAGACATAATCAGCTTACATCATAACCTGACTTTGTTGTTGAAAGTAAGAATATATGCCAGGACCAATCAGCCCATCATTCATACAGTACTGTGGCACTGAAACAACTTATATCAAAGTTGACTCTGTTTTCAGACAGGACAGTAGCTAGACAGAACAGTAGCTATTGATATGAAGGTAAGAGTAGCTGCTTCAGCCACAAATATGAAATGAAAGCATAGAATAGCCTCTCTTGATATGAAAGACAACCTGTGCATGATGTCAGCAACTCATCCTGCAGGACCAATCAGCCCATCATCCATGAACTCATATCATTGACTCTGTGTTGAGACAGAATAGTAGCTATTGATATGAAAGTATAGTAGCTTCTTCTAATGTGAAAGACAACTTGTCCATGATGTTGCAGCAATGGCAATATGTGGATTCATGTCAATCCTTCAACTACATTCCTATGAATTTATACATAGTCAAGAACACTATAACCAAATACATGTCAGAAAAGTGGACTACAAGTTTTGTAGTCTCAAAAAGTGAACACTACAAACTTTTGTAGGCTACAGAACCAGTCTAAGTGACTTTTGTAGTCTTTTTGTAGTCTTTTGTAGTCTAGTCTATGTCCTACTTTTGTATTCTTTTGGTAGTCCATCAGTAAACTTTGTAATCAAGTCTAACCTTTGTAGTCAACTCTAACTCTATCTTGTGGTCAACCCTAACCTACCTTTGTAGTGTAAGTCTGGTGTAGTCTTTTGTAGTCTATCAGTAAACTTTGTAGTCTGAGTCCAACTTTGCTAGTCTTTTCCAGTCTATCAGTAAACTTGGTAGTTAACCCTAAGCCAAACTTTGTAGTCAACTTTGAAGTTGGTTCTAACCTTAACTTTGTAGTGTATGTCCAACTTTTGTAGTCTATCAGTAAACTTTATAGTCAACCTGAACTCTAGCTTGATGTCAAAATTTGTAAGGTGATTCCAACTTTTGAGG